GTGGGTGTGGTTACAGTTTAAAATTATATTTAATGACATGGCTAGATAGGAAGAGAAGCAGAAGCAGAAGCAGAGAATGTTTATAATGAATCTCACTAGGAGTGTTTTGGAAAGACATTACAGGGTATGGAAACTATGATTTAAAATTTTAAAAATAGAATCAGAATAAATTTTAAAGTGACTATGTATGCAATAGTAGTAACAGCAGTAGTTTATAACATCACCATAGAAAATTGAGTCTTCTTTCTTGTAGATCATAATCTAGGTAAAAAAAGACCCTTTATTTGGGCAATAAAAGAAAACAATTTCCTTCAATTTCAAGCGAATTTAGATGATGCAAGACCTTATTGTGAATTATATAGAAGGTTGGAATAAAAGTAGCATTTTCAGGCCATGTTAACACAACCAGTATTATAGGGTAAGGAGTTAGATGCTAACACTTAAAACACAGTAACACGGAATCCAGTAACAAAAATAAACAAAAATCATAACTAAGAACTATTCTAAGTACTATCTACTATGAATGCAAACACGCTAAAATATTGCACATATTTATATTCAAAATTAAACTGCATACTTGACATGATAAGTCGACAGCAGGAATGGTTCGTGGGCTCTTACGCACAATGAAGAATGGCAGGTTTCTGCGAAAATGACTCTAGCCTAATCAAAAAGGTGGAAAAGATCAGTGTAGAAAAAAAGGATGCTTCCAGATTAACATAAGCGATTTTTCAACGACGTAACTTAAGAAGCTTCGCTATGCTTATCCTGAGGTCGGATAACCAAGTCAGTGGATACGCAAAACTAATGTCAAATTTTCAACTACTGGTTAAATTTCGCATTAACTTACTCTCATCTAAAAAAAAAGAAGAAACAGAATAGCCATATGTTTCGTGAAAATCCTCTGAAATTAATCGCTGCTTAAAATTTACAGTAGTAAGGAAATTCCCAGTAGAACAAAAGAAAAAAAACAAATTAAAACACAGAGAATAGTTAAAATAGATGCTAAGAATAGTTAAAAAGAGGAATTATATGAAGAGAAACAAGATATCTACTTTATTTACATTTCTTTGTTATATTCTTCTATTTTATGACCTTCAAAATTGTATTGTAAATTATCTGTGAATTAAAATAAGGTAGGTGTAGGTAATATGGTCATGTACAGTAATATGGCCATCCAACAAATTTCTTACTATTTTTATGTTTAAACGGTAGAACTCTTGATATTAGCATAGTAATACACATTTAGTGCCGAAATTGTTAAACAGATAGTGCCACATTCTCTATACGTCAGAACCATACACCATTGTTGTGAAAACTCGTCATTGCAGAAGCTGGTTATTAATTTCGTAATTTTTAAAAAAATCTTAACTGAATCTAATAGGTAAGTTTTTAATATATTAATTGTACTTACATGTTTCGTATACCTTCAAAATCATGTACATGTTCTTATTTTATTGTATAAATTTTGATTTAATACATTTTTTCTTAGACAAAATATCAAAATACAGTGTTGAGTAATATGGCCAGGTGAAAAGTAGGGTTATATGGCCATGGCCATATTTATCTTACGTGGCCATATTACTCTACAATGCATATTTTGTTTGCTGTATTGATATTATTTCTTTTATTACAGAAATAAAAAATGCCCCAGTATCAGCGCAGGGGCCTACGAGGCAACTGGACGGAAGAAAATTTGTCAGCAGCTTTAAGAGCGGTGGAAAATGGGACCGCAGTTAACACAGCTAGTCGTACATATCACATCCCAAGGCGGACACTTCGACGATATTTAGAAGAGGGAAAACAAGTAAAGTCTTGTCTAGGGCGAAAGACTATACTTACAAATGCCCAAGAAGCAGAATTAGTTCAACGTATTATCCGTCTTTCGCAAATTGGATATCCACTTACTGCAAGGGTACTTTGTAAGTGTGTATATCGGTTTACAGAACTCAATAATATCCCAAATCCTTTTCAAGAAAGCAAAGGAATAGCTGGTCGTTATTGGCTACGTGGTTTTATGAAGCGCAATCCTCAAATCAGACCTAGGAAAGCACAAAACTTAAATCCGGCTAGGGCACAAAAGCTTAATAAATTTATTGTAAAAGATCATTTTACTAAGCTGGAAGGTATTTTAAGAGAAATGGACATACTTGATAAGCCCGAACGGATATATAATGTAGACGAGAAAGGTTGCAGGTTAACACTTCACCACCAGCAGAAAGTTTTGGCGCAAAAAGGGCTAGAAGAGTACATGTTGTTGCAAACGAACATGGAGAAAGTGTTACCATTGTTTCTTGTGGTAATGCTCTCGGTACAGCAATCCCTCCAATGGTACTTTTTAAGGGTAAACGTAGTAAGCCAGAATGGGTTGACTCACTACCTCCAGGTGCTGTTGTTCAAATGACTGCAAAAGGTAGCATGAATATTGAAACGTTTTCAGTTTGGCTTCAACACTTTTCAAAATTTAAGGTTGCTGGTCCATGTATTATCATATTTGATGGTGCAAGATGCCATTTGGATCACACTATTGTAGAAACTGCCGAAAGATACGAAATTACTCTATACTGTTTACCTAGTAATACTACTCACGAGCTCCAACCAATGGACAAAGCTGTATTTAGAGCCTTTGAATATTACTGGGATGATGAAGTTATGAAATATTATTCTATTCATAGCGATCGTGTTATTACCAAACAGAGATTTGGGGCAATTTTTTCTACAGTTTGGGACAAAACAATGACACCATCTAATATAAAATCGGGGTTTTCTTCAACGGGAATTTATCCATTCAACCCAGAAGCTATCCCAGAGATAGCGTTTGCCCCTAGTACTATCACATACCAACATCAGGAAGATAAAGAGAATGTCACATTATCAGAAACTAACGCTTGTAATAAAGCAGATGATTTATCCATGCCATCAACTTCAGGCATTCAACAAAAATATTACCGTTGTCATTCTACTTTGGGATTACAACCGAAAAATAGCTCAAAAGAAGTATGTCTGGTCACTGATAGTAGTAACTCTTGTCGTCCCTCTACTTCGGATTTTCAACCGAAGAATCGCCCGGAAAAACCATTTCTAGACACTGATAGTAGCAACTCTGACTTATCCTTTAGTTTGCATGATTCTAGCAGTGATGAAGTTATTGATTCAGAAGACGATCACAGTGATTTCTCAAACATCCAAAATACTTCATTCACAATTATGCTCGAAACACCTGAAAATGCAGCAATAAAGAACGATAACAAAAAGCCTAGAAAACCAGCTATCAACAGTCGAGCCAAGTTGTTACTAAAGATTTATTCGGTAGATGTATTGGAAAAAGTGATTCAGAAAATATTGAAGCCAATACGCATACTACAGATGGTAAAAGAGTCTCGTCAATGCTACGAAAATTACCCAATCCAAAAAACAAATTTAAGACCTTGCCTGCTAAGAAAAAGGGAACAAAAAAACAAGAATCTTGGTTCTGCAAATTATGCAAGGAAGACAGGATGGTAGATATGAGACTGTGTAGCGTATGTAGCACTTATATCCACGAAGAGTGCATGGGTCTCACAGCTAAAGACAAAATTGATACGTTCTTATGCCCTGATTGTGAAAAATAAGACAATATTAAGTTTCTGTACTGTATTTGCTTAACATGTAATAAAACTGTTAAAAAATCTGAAACTATTTTATTCTATTTTGTGTTAAGCTTCATAATTAGATATAAAAATTTACTTTCTGTAGAGTGGCCATATTAGCGACACCATGTTGGTAATATGGCCAATAGCAGTATTTTTTTAATTAAGTCATAAATATCATATTTTTATCAATTTTTGAAAAATTATACAATAAATATATATTTAGATAACCCATGTAACTGTAATAACAGTTACTTTTAAAAAAAATTATATTTGGCCACAAATACGGACAAAAGTTCTTAAGGTGGCCATATTACCTGCACATACCTTATTTAATAAGTATTATAACGATGTTATTTGTAGTTGCTGTTTTCCTGAATTTTATTTGAAATTCTGATCTTGCGTAAAAAGTAAGAAATCCACAATTCACACATTAAAACAAAATAAGATACGCGAATCATAGATAATATCGATACTCGACATATCAAAATTTCGTAGAAATTACTAACCTCGTTAAAAATTTTTATTTTAAAGATAATACGTTTCGCAAAGATAATCTATAATACTTGTATTAATAAACTTTTTACTATTGTTCTCTTAAAAATGAAGAATATTATATAATAAAAAAAATTGCTTAATAAAATAAAATTCCTTCACAAATATGCATATCTGATTTGTTGGTTTTAAGTAATGATTTGTGTTAATAATAATATTAACAGAGTTAAGCCCTGAGATTCTTTCGCTCTAAGAAGAAATTTTCCGTCCGAGAGTTGAGAGAACTTATCGTTATGGAAACATGGAAGACCACAAGGTCAACCCTAGGCTTCAACCACCTATCTTTGCCTTCTGTTCACAAAAGGTATTCACTTTATTCAAGCTGGGTCGACATGAGGCATGTAAAAGGGCCACATATAAGGGGTAAAATGTGTCAAGTAGGAGTTATAAAAAAAGAAAATTATATACTTCAGAACATAAATTATCAATTCAAGGCCCTCTAAAAGCTACACCATGGAGTAAAGTTTGGACAAAAAATAATCAACAAGACGCCTACTTATATTTTTTTGGAAAGCAGAATCATCTCTATATATGACGTTTAGGGCAAAAATATTGCAGGTACACGATATAAAGGCATATAAAGGAGAAGGAGAAGGAAAGAAAAATTAAGAATAACTGTTCAACTTGTACAAAAAATTCTTTCTGATGCTAATATTACTGTGAACTAGAAAGTCATCAAGAAACCTGACGGCAAGATAAAAAATATTAACAATCGAACTAAAACAGTTCTATTATTATGAAAATTACAAAAGTTGGACCTATATAATGGTATCAGTTTGTCATAAACATATTATGGAATAACGAGTAAATACTCACCGATCCGGACTTGGCCAGATGGACCTGGATTTCCACCAGAGTTTTTTGGTCTTCTCTTACGTGTTTGGATGCCATCCTTTTTCATACTCATCGGTCGGTTAACCTGCAACGATAAATAGAATTTGTTGATAGATAATCTTCCCATATGAACATTATCTTCATACGTTACGTATGTTAGATAGTGTATCTTATGTTTACAAGAGATTTTTATTGTTACTATTGCTCTATATCAAAAAAGATAATTTTTTGTATCTATATCTACCCCGGATAAACTGATATTTTCTACTGTAGAGATACTAATATTTATCATTTTACAATAACACAGTCTTTGATAAAAGACAGACAGCTTGTCTTGGTTGCTAAAATAAATGCATATCTGTTGTATACACCAATTTTAGCCCAGGCTGTGGGGAAAAAAGGGTGATTTTACATTGTAATCCAGGAATTTGTGTAATGTGGCCTAGGTTATAAAGGGTAACCTCAGGAGCAATTTCGCAGTTCATTCAACAAAAAATTTGTGGTTATTGTTTATTTATGAACGTTTGTAGGTGCAAAATACGTTTTTTTTTGAGTTTTTTTTAATTTTTTGCCTAAAGTAAGTATGGTAATGAGTAATTTCTATATAGATTATGAAATTACTCTAAAAGACTTTCAATTTGAGTCGGTATACGTTCAATTTAATTTATTTGTTATTGCAAAAATAACGAATGAAGGTATATATATATATATATATATATATATTATATATATATATATATATATATATATATATATATATATATAAATATATATATATATATATATATATATATATAAATATATATATAATATATATATAAATATATATATATATATATATATGTTAGTTTGAAGTGTTTCACGGATGGAGTAATATGTTGAACAATTATTCCGGGAAAATATCCGTTGGTCATTTTTTAATTGCAGACGTTTCGCCAAGGTCTCACTTGGCATCTTCTGTGCGTTGTCTTCGGTCTCGTAGTCGGTAACTGAATGAGCTGCGCTCAGTCCTCACTTCTTTTATATCGTGCGCTGTTCGAGCGGATCGTCGCTGATTGGCCGTATTCGTTACGCCGCTAGGCCCCGCCCCCTGGGGAGCGAAGCTCAGGCAGTCAGTTTGATGTTGGCGTCTCGAGATTATGGACTTCCAAGCTTGGGGCAGATTTAAGGAGTCGTCACGTTTGTTAAGAAGACCTTCTTTTTCAATTTCTATAGATTCTCTGATGGTTCTTGTTTTGAAGTGTTCAATGTTGGCTATTTGTTTGCAACTTTCGAAGTTTATTTTATGGCCTGTGTTATGCTCGTGTTGAAATAGAGCAGATGTTAGCTGTCTGTTGCGAATTGCTAGTTTGTGTTCCTCTAATCTTGCGGAAATTCTCCTGTTGGTTTGTCCGATGTAGGTTTGGTGACAGGTTCCACATGCAATTTTGTAAACACCCTGATTTTCCAGTTTGGTTGCATCTTTGGGGTTTCTTAAGATCGATCGAACTGTTTGCTTCGGTTTGTAGATTGTCGATATGTTCTTTTTTCGGAGAATGCGCCCTATCTTGTCGGTGGTTCCTTTCACGTATGGTAGAATAGCTCTTGGTTGATTTTTGTTGTCTTCTTGTGTGTTTTGTGTGGTCTTCCGTTGTTTCTTTATTGCTTTGTAGATGGTGTTTGAGCTGTATCCATTTTGTTTCAGTATTGTTTTTATGTTCTTGAGCTCTGCATTTCTATGTGTAGTACAGGTCAGGCTATTTGATCTTGATATCAGAGTGTCAGCTACTCCTTGTATTTGGGAAGGATGGTGGTGTGAGTTGGCTTGTAGATATCTATCGGTGTGAGTTGGTTTTCTATATACTGTGTGTTCAAATTTACCACTCGGTGTTTTTATTGCGAGAACATCTAAAAATGGAAGTTGGTTGTTATCTTCAATCTCCAGGGTGAATTGGATTTTTGGGTGTTGATTATTTAGATGATTAAGAAATTGTTCAAGTTCTACTCTTCCATGGGTCCAGATCACAAATACGTCATCTACGTATCTTAGCCACAGTTTCGGTTTTTTATCGTATGTTTTGATGGCTTTTTCTTCAAAGTAAATCATGAACATATTGGCCACCGCCGGTGATAATGATGAACCCATTGCTGCTCCATCTGTTTGTCGGTACATTTGTCCATCGTACATGAAGTATGCATTGTTGAGGCAGTGGTGAGCTAGTTCTATGATATGGTCAGGAAGGTCTTCGTATTCCGATATTAACTGGAGTGCTTCGTTTACTGGTACGTTGGTGTATAATGCTCAACAATGCATACTTCATGTACGATGGACAAATGTACCGACAAACAGATGGAGCAGCAATGGGTTCATCATTATCACCGGCGGTGGCCAATATGTTCATGATTTACTTTGAAGAAAAAGCCATCAAAACATACGATAAAAAACCGAAACTGTGGCTAAGATACGTAGATGACGTATTTGTGATCTGGACCCATGGAAGAGTAGAACTATATATATATATATATATATATATATATATATATATAATATATATATATATATATATATATATATATATAATATATATGAGGTTCCTACAGCCTCTGCCGCCTCTCGCATTTCGACCGTCATCGTTTTCTGTCCATCCATTCGTCTTCTTTGATGGCTCTATCTCTCATTATGTGTCGTACATTTTCTTCCCAGGCAACTGAAGGCCTTCCCCTTTTTCTTCTTTGTTGTGGTATGTAATTTAAAGCTTTCTTTGGCCATCTATTTTCATTCATTCGCTTCACGTGACCATACCACACTAGTTGTCTCGTTTCAATTCTGTCTACACTGGAATATACAGTATTTGTCCTCCTTCTAATATCTTCATTTCTGATATGATCTTTTTTGGATATACCACACGCTCTCCGTATAAAACTACTACTTCTATTCTTTTTCTATCTTTTTTGGTGATCTGCCAAACTTCTGCCCCATAAGTCATAATAGGCTCTACCAAGGTTCGATAGATTGTCAATTTCGTTTCTTGTTTAATATCTTTAGACCATAGTAGAGAGTTTAGAATGTCAACTATGTCCCTTTTGGTAGTGCCTTCTTTAGATATTATAGATCCGAGATATTTATATTCCTTGCATGTTTTTGTGTTTCTAATTTCTAACTCTAGATCTTCTTCATCATCTCCTATTTTAGGATACTCTGTCTTTGACATGTTCATATTGAGGCCCCATTTTTCATATTCTTTCTTTAGTTTTCTAAACATGTAGTCCATGTCTTCCTCATCATTAGCTACGACTACCTGATCATCTGTGAAAAATAAAGTTGTTAGACATTTACCATCGCCTATGTCTATTCCCATTCCGGATACTTGTTTCCTTCACTGCTCTAGCAATGATTGAATATATATTTTAAATAAGGTCTAAGATAGACAACATCCTTGTTTAAGCCTCTTTGTTATTGGAAATGATTCAGATATAAAGTTTCCTTCTTTAACGACACTTTTTGCATTTTTGTATATATTTGCGATAGCATCCACATACTCTCTACTGAGACCTACTTTCGTCAATGTTTGAAACAGTTTTTTCAAAGGTACCGTATCGTATGCCTTCTCTAAATATACAAACAATAGGTGGGTAGATAGATTTCTTGCCTTCCGGTTTTTGATTATTTGCTGCAGAACGAATATACCATCAGTGCAAGATCTTCCTGCACGAAATCCATTTTGTTCTTCTATATCTTCGTATTCTGATTCTAGTATTTTTTTTATTATTCGACCATACAACCTCTCCACTGAGCTGATAACAGTTATTCCCCTATAATTAGAGCATTTATGTTTATCCCCTGTCTTGAATATTGAGCTGATGAATCCAATATTCCAATCATCAGGAATATTTTGGCCTTTTAAGCATTTGTTAAATAGTTGAACCAACATTTCATGTAATATTTTTGGTCCATACTTTACCAACTCAATTGGGATGTCTCTAGGTCCTGCTGCTTTACCGTTTTTTGATCTTTTGAGGGCATCGTTTAACTATCCGGTTGTTATCTCAATTATTTGTGTATGTTTGGATATTTCTTCCATTTCGATCTCTTGGAATTTACATCTATCCTCTGACTGTAAGTCCTCATAATGGTGTTTCCACTGTTTCAGATCTATTAACTGTAAGTTAGATTTTTCTTTCCTTCCCTCCGAAGAGACTTTATCACCATCCAAGCTTGCCCAACTCTTGTTTCACCTATATACCTATCCACCTCTGCACATCTTCATCCGTTCTCGTTGACATCCATTTCTGATAAGCAGTTTTCTTCTTGTTGACTAAAGTTTGCATATTCTCCGACCACCATTCTTAGTTTTTTATTTCATGTTTGTCTTTATAACCCAAAGCTTCACTTGGAGCCTTATGAATGCATTTTTTAAGATGCTGGTATAATTCTTATGCTGATATATTTTCTCGATCCACAATTTGTAATTTTGTGGCCAATCGTAATTTGTAAAGAAATTTCGTTGAATCTTCTTTTAAGCTTTCTAGATTATATTTAGGAGATATTACTTCTTGTGTCTTTTCTTATTCTGAACCTGAGTGTTCGTCAGTTGTTTTCAGTTGGGAAGTTTGACCTGCTCCAAAGAATCTCAGAAGACATCGAAATTAATTCAGTGATCCCAAACCACCAGTTTGGTTTCCGCGAAGCCCATTCAACTCTACAACAGTGTCATAGGATTGTAAAAAACGTTAATGTACGCCTCGAAGAGAAAAAAATTTGCACTGCTGCCTTCCTGAATATAGAACAAGCCTTCGACCGTGTTTGGTATGACGGCCTCCTATATAAACTTAAGTCATCCTTTCCCACCCCTCACTGTCTACTTTTAAAATCATACCTCACAGAACATTACTTCCAAGTCAGATTCCCCACAGAAACCTCTCCTTACTATCCCATAAAATCCGGTGTCTCTCAAGGAAGTGTCCTGGGTACCTCATATACACTGCTAATATCCCAACAACATATACGACCACAGTGGCCATGTTCGCAGATGACACCGCCATAATATCAATCGACGATGAGCCCCAAGTAGCATCAGGAAACCTTCAAATACACCTGAACCTAATACAAGACTGGATGTATAAATGGAAAATCAAAGTTAACCATAATAAGTCTAATCAAATTACATTCACCAATAGGAACATCATATGTCCGAGAATTAGACTGAACGATATACTACTACCAGTAAAAACAGAAGTCAAATAACTGGGAATGACACTTGATCAAAAGCTCACTTGGAAAGCACACATCTTGGCAAAGAAAAATCCAAATCAACATGAAAATACGTCAAATAAATTGGCTAATAGGCTGAAAATCACAGTTATTAACAGATAATAAACTTCTATTGTATAAGTGCATAATAAAACCTATATGGACATATGGAGTGCAACTATGGGGCTGTGCAAAGCGTTCTAATACCAAAATCATTCAGAGAATCCAATCCAAAATACTTTTCAACGCGCCATGGTACGTTAGTAACAAAACACTGCATGATGACTCTGGTATACCGTTCGTTGAAGACGAAATGAGCAGACTAACAAGAAATTATTTAGAACATCTGCCAACCCACCCCAACGAGGAAGCAAGACAACTACACCTCCAACCAGAAGTCAGACGAAGATTGACGAGACAGTGGCCAACAGACCTTATACACTAATTTCAATTTTAATTTTAATTTTAATTTTTATTTCAATTTTAGTTTCAAACTATAATCCTACATTAATTTAATTTGTTAGTGTTATTATTGGGAGTGTTATCAATGGATAATTTCTTCTCTCATGTATTTGCAATAATCATATTTACTAATAGCTTGTAATAGCAGATTGTAAATTTGCAAATTTAATAAAAGAAAAATAAATAAATTTATATGCATACATAAATTTATAAACATATTTTCTATTTTCTATTTTTTTTTTTTTAAAGATAAAAATACGTTTATTGACGTTTCAATTTCCAATTCGGAAATCGTTCTCAAAATACTTTTATTTTGAGTAAAAATTATTATTAAAATACTTTTAATAATAATTTTTACTCAAAATAAAAGTATTTTGAGAACGATTTCCGAATTGGAAATTGAAACGTCAATAAACGTATTTTTATCTTAAAAAAAAAAAAAAAAAAAAAAAAAAAAATATTTTCTATCGTTTTATTTATTACTAAAAACTTACCCCGTGTAATTTAAAGTAAAGTCCGCAAGCGTTGCAAACAGGTTCCCCTTGATTATTTCTTCGCCAAAGAGTTGTGTTATTTGTTTTGCAATTTGCACATGATACACCATTTCTTCTGTTTCCTGTCTAAAAATTAATTTCGGTGTCAGTTTAATGATGGCTTTTTGGATAAGTGTCTTAAATACCTAATTTGACTAAAAGATAAAGAAAAAATAAGTCTAATATAATGGTAATAATTATAATATACAAATAGATAACACATTACTCATAGATTAATTAAATATTATGGATATAAGCTTGTGTTTAATGTCACACCCTCTTTAGAGTTTAGGTATTGGATTATAAAATTCTTATATATCGAATAAAATACCGTTCTTAAAAGTATTATTTAGCTACAGCAACAACGATACAACTAGTGATTCTTTTATTATCATCATTACCTCCGATAATCATGATGTGATTATAATGTATTGTTTAAAAATATTATTTAAGAAACGCTGATGTTAAACCACAACAGAAAATATATTTCATGTGTTCTCTTTCTTATAGCGCTACTGCCCAAGTCGTGTCCTGGCCTCTCCAGCATCCGCATACAAGCACCCCTTTTCTTGACTACTCTCCTCCAGTAATCCACCCTTAATATCACTTTAGCATCGGTTCTTACTTCGTGTATCCACCTCTTCCTTGGTCTTTCTTCTGGCCGACATCACACCATAGTTCCACTAGGTTAGTAAACTTATTTCCTAGATAAACGAATGAAGATTATTAAGAACAATTATGCAATAGCTTAGAAGAAGGCATATGGGGAATAGGCTATCACTGTTAAAAAGGGGACTCAAAAGTGCTGCTGGTTTTCAAATACAGTTGAGCAAAGGCAAAGAGCTCGTAGTTATAAGTAAACTCTTCCTGACTCGTCAAGACATTTGGAGTTTAGATCCACCCACAGAAGACGTAGTTCTCTTTAGCCTGGAAGTACTTGATGAAGCTGTGAAACATTTAAAAAATAGAAAATCACCTTATCCCGACGGAATAATACCGGAAGTTTATCAGGTAACCTAGAACCAAATTATATATTAAACGTGATGAACCACATGTTGAAGAAACAAGAATTCCCCGAAATTTGCAAACTTTCACGGTTAGTTTTAATACCAAAACTAGGACAAACTTAATTACCGCCAAACGCATTTCTAGCCCTATGTTTCCTAGATACTATTTGCAAATTATACGAGTAAATGGTAAAGAATAGGCTAGAACAAAACTTTCGGAGGGAAACTATCCAAAAATCAGGATTAATTCTGAAAATGACGCTTATCAATTAAGCTGCCTAGAAGGAGATATATTTTCCTTTAAAGCTAGAAAAGTTACGCCAAAAATAAAATGGTTCCGTAATGCCTTCAATTTAGCACCATAGTCTAGAAAAGTTAAGAATCTTGAAAAATTGCAGACCCCACAGATTTAATTGCTGCCCAAAGGCTAGGAAGATCTCAACTAGGCAGGTAATGACTTAAGTGCCTTAACAGGGGTACCAAAAGGGTCACTAATAGGTCAAGTTTCATCGTTTCATGGTTTTGTATTCTTTATTTCTAAAAGGATCATGTTCTAAGGCTACCTCACCATGACGGAGTCTACAGAATAAGGTTTGCAGACGATTTGGTACTGGAAAGAAGTAATGAAGGCTTTACGAGAGAGGTACGAGGTACTTGATAATTTTTTTCTCCGACTATCTGTCAGACAGGAAAATTGTCGAAGAAAAGTAAGTGGTGGTTGGGAGCCACCAATACGGAGAGGGTGTAACTTCTTTCGCATTTGCGAACGACCTCGCTATGTTGGTAGTGGCGCGGGACAGAGAGAACCTTATCTTTGGTGCACAGCGTACACGCTACCAAGTCAAAGAATCAATGAAAATGCATGAACTAGAACTGGCTGCGGGTAAGACCGAGGTTATAGTTCTCAAATGAACAATAAAAAGGGACAGGATAATATTTAAATGTGCAGAAAAGAGAGTAGTAGTAAACAAACGGGTGAGGTATTTAGGAGTGACTCTGGGTCAAAACGAAAGCTTTGAGCATCTGGATGACGCAGATGCTCACAGGACATGGTTGCTTCAATGCATGCCTTTACAAATTTGGAATGGCAGAAAATGACAAATGCCTAATCTTGTGAAATATTGAACACTGTTTCACATACTCTAATGGTATGAGATAGATAAGAGGAGCCTGTTTCAGGGAGAGCTAGGAAGTAGAGTGCAATCAGTCATGGAGCTGTTGGGGAGATGCGTAGGTCGTCAGATCAGTGGAGAGCAGTTCAGATTTATGTGAGGAGAACGTTGGAGAGAAAGAAACTAGGAGAAAGGCGAAAGTAAGAAGATAAATTAGAATGAGAAGGGGCGAGATTTAACATGAACAGGGAGGAACAGAGGGACATAAGAATTTGGTCGTAGTGAGAAAGTGCTAGAAAGCATGAGAATTGTGCGTGAATGAGAGATCGGGTGAATGCCGTGCCGATGTTTCGTTCCAATCAGGGCGATGCGGCCGGTAATTCACCACTAATGAGGATGTTTTTTAGCAGATAGGTCTCTGGCATTGACGGCAATGTTTTCTGAATAACCTCTGAGAGCTGTCTTGGATATCATCGTGTCTACGTTGGAAAAATCCTGCATAACCGAGGCTGAAAGGCGGTTCTGTTTACCTTCTAGAACCGAAGTATGTTTCGAACATTTAGACCACCCGTTGATAAAAGACGAAAAAAAAACGATCTGGTACGATTAATAACAGCTTGTAATAAGGAGGAGCTGATGTTTATATTATATTAAATAAAACACTGTGGGAAATAAATCACTGGCTAAAGCAGAATGGCATGAAGCAGGGACCCGAAAAAACGGAAGCCGTAACGCTTCCAGGTAGGAGAGATAGAGAGGACTTAGTCCCTGGTGGGCAAAACACGTGAACAGAATCCGCAGAAAATGAATCTAATAAATGCACGAATGTAAGGAAAAGGACCTGTTGGAAGAACAAAAAAGAGATGGATAAACAAAGTAGATGAGGATGTCAAAAACCTCCTAAACACACGCTGCTGGAAAAGAGCAACAGTAGGGAGAGATCTTTACTGAAGCTTACTGAAGAAAGCCAACGCCCCACTTGGGCTGTAGTACCATTAGATGGATGGATGGAGTTATCTCCTAACCAAACTGTTTAATGTTTTCTTTTATTGTACAGTATGCAGGCTTGGACTGGTATAAGAGATCATTAAACACAGCGGATCCAGAGTTGGGTTGATTAAATAAACAGGCGCCTTTCATTAAAAAGCTTTTTAAAACTAAAGGAACAGTGATTGATGAACACAAGCTAGTAATTATCAAATTCAATTGTAAATAATGTGGCACGCTTTAACCTGCATTTTTTCTTATAATAGCGGAGAGGGCGTTGAGGAGACTTCCCCATCTTCTGTATAGCCAGTCCAAGCTTGCAAATTGCAGTATCGTAAATTCTAAACTTATGATCTAGAATTATTTCATATTAAAATGATTCCAACAAATGTTTTATTAATCTAAAAAATAGTTTGATGCCTGCATTTTACAGTAATGTTTTGATTTAATAAGAACAGTGTTTAAAGTATTGAAAATAGCAAACACTAAAGAAATATTTGAATAGAAACGTAAGTTTTAAGTGAAATGGCAATATTATGTAAATTCTCCCGCCATTATAAATATTTTCTAAAAAATACTGATTTGATAACGGTCTAAATTAAATTTTTATAAATAACCATAGGCGATAACTTCACATAGGTACCACAAATAAAAGGGATACGATCTTGTGTGGTTACTGAACATGCTTTCAAATAAATTTCTTATCTCTTTTACTTGGCCCCATTTCACGTTTGTGTACTTAACGATAAGTACTCATCGAGAATGTACCGTTTAATATGTTACTCTTTCTTAGCAAATAACGATAAAATTGATATATTTGGATGTATTTGTAATATTGTCACTTCAAGTGTCCTCTGTATAATGACTGATTTCTGAATTAAGGCGTCAAAAAGAGATCATTTAAAAATAAATACTAAAAAGTAAATACCTTCAAGGATTTGTACGACATACTTGAATTTGTTCATATTATTTTTTTAAGTTGATATTAATTTTAAAATAACAAGCTCTGCTAATGGGTAATAAAGTTAAATTATTTAAACGTTAAAACCAGACCAGAAAAATTAAAAAATAAAAAGTCTTTTTTGTAAAATTCTTTGATACAAATATCTAGCAATTGCTTTTGGTAGATTTAGTGGTAAAAATATGTTATAAAAACGTCTTTTTTTACTTATAGGCAATATATAAAGAATATAAGATCGCTATTTGATTTTAAATACTAAAGTTGAAGACCGGTAAATTATATGGAAAAGTGGCTCTTTTCCATATAATTGTGTGGACAATTTGACTGAAAAAGCATCAAAAATCCTTTAAAATGAGGGTTTGTAAAGTTATTTTTGTTAATTTGTTGCTTAATTATTGCAAACATGTCACATGGAGGGGGGAGAGGGGAGATTTGATCCCAACGTTACATTTTTTCAGATAACTTTTTTTATAACCGATCTAGAACCTTGATAATTTAGTGGAATATTACAAATTTATCAAAATTTTGGGTATTATACACGCGAAAAATATACTGCTAATAAATAACGAGTTTTTGTAGAATCTAGTAATAGAGAAAAACTAATCATGTCTCCCCGTACTTCGGGAGACTTGATCCTTGTGTATGGGTGACTTGATTATACCTTCCCAGAATAACAATATTAAAATAAAACCAAAAATTTGATGCTGAAAACTAACTTTACTCAGTCATGACATAACAAATAATATTATTAAAACACTTTCTGGCAGAAAATATTCAAAGAGTTATAAAAGTGAAAAAAAAATTATTGTTGAATATTGAACATTCTCAGTGATGTAGGAAAGACATCCTATGCACTTACTGTAGCTCCTAAAAGTCAGGCTTCGTAACTCTTTAAAATTTGGTGCGGCTTCACCAATCTCTTCTTTTTCTGGCTACTTAAAGGTTTCGTCATCTCTTTTTTGGGCAAATTTGATTTTAAAATTCTCGATCTTTCTTCCCTTTATCTGCCCTACGTAACGA